GAGTTGCATGAAATGACGCTCACTCATACATTTCCTGGGACTCAGCCTGAATATAGGCGATTTTTTTTTCAAATGTTACAGAACTCTCTCATTGCTTGAGTCCAAATCAACTATTAACTTTTAAAGTAAAATTTTTGCTGGGAAGATAAACAGTTCTCCCATGGGTGAAGCTATTTCTCAACATTAAAGGAATTAAAAATTATAATTTATGCTTAAAATAATAATGTTAGTCCAAGTTTTAGTTCTCTTCTCTCCTCCTTCTCTGTTATTCTTTATCCTGCCATGTGTTTGCAAACCATTCTCATGAACTTCTGCCTGGGCAGCACATTTGTAGTGGGACCAGATTATACGTACACCACTGACTTTTTCATCTGACCTCCAGATTCAGCCTTTGAGCCCCTCCTTTTCTTTGGGTTTTCCTAACAGAATCATCTTGTTGAAAGGAATATTATTTCTGATGATACATGGAATAATAGGATCATACTTTGTGAGGTTCAGACCTGACATCCTAAAAATTTAAACATGTATTTATTTGCTCTTGCTCACTTTACTTAGTCTTGGCATTTCAGGTCTAGAGGTGGTTACTACCCATTGGACATCCTTAGCCACTCCCTGCAAATTAGAGGGAGGACAAAAATGCAACTGAACTTCTTGTTTTTCTTCAGGTCTCTGTTAATTGAACAAAGTCAGTTGAGTTCCCTCATTTGCCCTTTTCACACCTACCAAATTAATGTTATGTGCAAATTTGATTATGACAGTGTGAATAATTTCTAAGTTACTTTTGAATACACATCAAATTCTGTTCCTTGTGGCTTTTTCTTCATCATACTAGTAGATGTAGCCAGTGTTTTTCTTTCTAGCCTGCTTAAATCCTGTGTGTTTGTTGTAGCAACATAAGTTACAGTTGATTTAGCGATCCTGATTTCACAGGACACTGTATCAACTGCTTTACTAAGATCAAAGTACGTGGGGTTCATTGCATTCCCTTCCGTTGCTAATTCAGTTGTACTGTAGCCAGGCAGTCCTGGAGCCTTGAAATCCAGGATTCTGGTCAAGGTGAGGAAGCAGCCCTTCTTCCTGGTTTTTTCATTCTGCAAAAGATATCTTTCTTTTCTTCTAAATATTCATTTATTCAGCAATGTGTCCCAGGCTCTACATCCCTGACCTCCAGCAGCAACAGCCTGGTGTCCCTTCAGCCAGTGGTTACATTCTTGCTGCAAACAGGAAAATCTGTGAGCCCTTCACACCAGTGTACCCTGTGAGCTTCCATGCTAGAGAAAGCAAACCTGATCTAGTTGTGCCTTAGTGGTGGCAATAAAATATGTTGATCAAAATTAGACATCATGGCTTCCAGGCTACCTGAGTTCTGGTATTTACTAGCAGTATCATTTTAGGCAGGTTACAGACATCTCTCTGTCTGTTTTCTGATCTGTAATATGAAGATAAAGATAATTCCTACCTCAAGCTTGTTGTCAGGAATATATACAAAGTGGTTAGCATTTATTGAACTAGGGTTAGTTAAAAAATTAGTAAGTTTTCAAAAGTTTGTAATAAAGATTCTGGATATTCTGGATTTTCTTAGCTCACTATAACCTCAAACTCCTGGGCTCAATCTATCCTCCTGCCTCAGCCTCCTGAGTAGCTAGGATTTCAGGTGAATGGCACCCTGTTGTGCTCAGGCTGGTCTTGAACCCCTGGCCTCAAGCAATCCTCCCTTCTGGGCCTCCTAAAGTGCTGGAATTATAGATAGGTCTGAGCCACCACACCCAGCCCCAGTTTCTGGATTTTCCAGGCAGTTTGTTTTTCTTTCATGCCATTTGCCTTGGCCATTCGACTACAAACAAAAGAAAGGAGATGATAATCAAAGTATCTAGTTTTGCAGCCTTAAATTATTCATAAATTGTTTTTCTTCTTTTTAGACTCCATTATGTATAATTAACAATTGATGTATTTAAGATAATGATACATGTGATTTATTTTCTATCAACTCATATTTTGCTGCTTAATACATCTGGAAGTGGCAAAATATAAGAATTGTATATTTTTAAAGTCATTTTTAAGAGCATTTTTTCCTTAGTAATGAACATTGTATTTATTTGACTTATTGGGACCAATCCTTTTGAGTTGTAAGGCCTTTTAATGTATTATTTTAAAAATAAAAATGTTCAAGATAATTAAAACAATTTTTTAAATAAGGAAGCAGAAATACCCACCATAGAAGATGTGCAGACAAAGCATGCCTTCCAAAGAAAAATGAATTCTAAGACAGTGTTTAGTCTACACAATACACATCATGATCAGCAGTCAGTAAATAACCCAAGGCTATTCATTGCCAGTAGTCTGTGCCAGGAACATTTTGAACACCCTTGTATACAGGTACTTTTACATTTAGTCAGACTTTTGTGGTATCTTTCCTTTCCTTCATATTACGCTCACTAAATCACAGCACATCAGCCAACATGGCCCATTTTACATACATATTTGCATGCTAACTGAAGAATTAAAGGAGAAACTTGGAAAAAACATAAAGGTTTTGTCTATCACAGTTTGACTAGTGGATCTGTCTTATTATTTTATAAAATTATATTCAGCTGCAGCCCAAGAGCATATTTTACCTAATACTGCTATGGCTTAAAATCAGTTGGCTTGGGGCAAAATACATGTTTAGACTTTACATTTTACCAAAATTTGGCAAGGTAATGAGGTAGCATGATGCAGCTGAGAGAGAATGTTACAAATTATGTTTTAAAAGTGAGCTTTTTCTGAGTAAAAGATAATGTAGTGCAGAATGATCACTCCACAGCCAGAAGGCACCCACTCATTTCTGTTCAATTAAAAGGAAGAAGAACAGGCCTAGGGTGGGTTTCAGCTCCATTACCTACTGCTTCGAGAAAATCACTTAACATCTGTGAGCCCCCACTGCGTCTTCTTGCAGATGATGACTCCTCTCTGCAAAGGCAGTTCTGAGAATTCAGGGAGGCAGGGCACAGGAGGGTTTGTCCTATGTAATGTTAGTAATTTTGTGTAAGGTGTGTGGGTTCATGATGTGTATATTTGGAAGCTGAGGAAACTGAGGCACCGAGCTTAGGAAAATACCAGCTCAGGCCTGTAGTCACCCTGGCCCCATCTTTCTGCCTTGTGGCTGGGTCTTCCACATCATGCCGTGGGTGGTTTTTAAGTAGTCCTTTCCTTATCTTGTTCAAAACCAGGAAACTGTGGGCACCCAAGGCAGCCTAAACCATCTTGCATGCAGACTTTTTAAAAAAGATGATTTTCACCCCCTTGCTACATTTTGCCATGAAATGACACTTGCTCTGGCTCCTTGAAGATGGCTAATAGCCCTCTATGGGTAACTGCCAGTCAGGCCAGCCAGCTGGCTCTGAGAAAGGCTTCCTTGAAAGCCATGGCCCAGGTTTTGCTGAGGCCAAGAGGTGAGCGTGAGCGCCAGATACCTCCTTCCCAGAAAATCCTGTTGCATGTGCTACCCTGGAAATGAAGACAGAGACAGGGACACTGCTGTGAAGAAGGTTGCTAGTACAGAGAGGTCATCTCTTAGGTAACCAGACGGCTTGTCATTTTTCATTTTCTTGTTTGCAAAAATCCATGTGTAATAATCACCAAGAATCCTGATACTCACATGGAGGAATGCTTGTGGCAAATGTTTTTAACCACCAAAATAAGGCCTTTTTTTAAAAGATAGAGATAAGCAGCATTATTTTTGGAGATGAGTTTATCATCTCCTCCTCCACACCTATTAGTACCCAGGAAAGCTATTTCTTGTAACTTAATTTGGATCCTCTAAAATGGCTTTCACAGTTGTTCTTTTCATCCAAGAACTTAGAGAATGGAGACTTAGAGAATGGAGACTTTCAAAGTGAACTCCTCATGTTCTTCCAAAATCAATTTTGTGTTTTGTGGTATCATTTGTGCTTGCCTGGAAGCATATTTTTTTCTCTTCCTAACGAGTTTGTGATTTTAGTATTTTTTTTTCCTACACAGCAGTGGTAAGGAAGACACCTCTCCATGAAACGTAGGAGACTAGCTGATCCACGCGGACGTGTGAGGCGTTGCTTAGGCCTTGTGGTTAGACTTAGGAGACATGTCAGGAACTGTGTTGTATTCTCCAAACTGTCAACTTTGTAATCCGTGCACAAAGTGAATGTTAATCAATAGTTTTGATGAGGAGGAGGATTTTAGTTATAGGGAGCCTAAGAGAGAAATGCGGTTGCCCTTTCCCCACAGCTGACCACTGCTCTGGACGACAGTATTATGAATGCAGGTGTGACCCAGCAGCACAGGTAAATGTGGTTCCTAGACTCCCACCAGATACTTTTCTATATTTTATCATCTATTAAATAGTACAAAATTTAATATATGTCATAAAATTATCTCTTAGCATAGTACTCAGACAAAATATGAATAGTCTGCTGTTGACTTTTTATGTATTAATGACTTTGAATTTTTCAGAACTAAGGGAGATTTTTAGAACTAAAAATCTAATATAGTCTAATCTCAGGAGTTCCCAAATGTAGAAATGAAGGCTATGCAGGTTAATTTAAGTTTTCCTTTGCCTTGAGAATTTTATTTTTCTTTAAACGTTTTCTTTCTGTGCTCTTAGGCTTATGGTGAGTAACAGAAATGAAGGAGAAAATTTCAAAAGATTTTAAAATTGAATTGTGCTCTTAAAAACATGTTAATTATTGACAGGGATTTTTCCCTCTTTCTTCTTCTTCTTCTTTTTTTTTTTTTTCTTTTGAGACAGAGTCTCCTTCTATTGCCCAGGCTAGAGTGCAGTGGAGTCATCATAGCTCACTGCAAGCTCAAACTCCTGGGCTCATGTGATCTTCCTGCCTCATCCTCCAGAATAGCTGGGACTACAGGCATGCACCACCCTGCTAGGTATTTTATCCTATTATTTTATAGAGACAGGGTCTTTTCTTGCTCAGGCTGATCTTGAAATCCTGACCTCAAGCAGTCCTCCCACCTCAGCCTCCCAGAGTGCTCGGATTACAGGCATGAGCCACCATACCTGGCCTTGACAGGTTTTAAAATCAATTAAGTCTTGAGCTAAATGTGTCCTGTGCCATCTCCTCCTCACTGGGTACTTTGTGGGAAAGGAATGGTAGCTCTTTGGGAAAAAGCATTAAGCTTGTGAGAAGAGGTGAAGAGTTGCTAGGTGTAGGGTAAGTAATGGACTGAGAGAAGGAAAAGATGGATAGAGCGTGACCCTAAAAGAATGCTAAGATTCTTCAGGAAGTTTTTTAGTAATAAGCCCTCATCAGACTGAGTAGTCTCTTTGCCCAGCCCCGCCTTTGTACTTGAAATCTGCAGCCCTTGTAGTTCTTCTGTGTGCTCTACAGCTTGAGTCTGTGCTGCTCTAGCTCTGGGGAGGTGGTGGGGAAGGGTGGGGGAGATGTACTCAGTTTCTCTGCAAGTGTCTAGAGGTCTTCGCATTGCGGAGACTCTTGATCACCTTTTAGTATGTGCTTTGTTTCTTGGCTACATCAGGAGGTTAATAATAGCATGGTACTGACAGGTGAGGGTGAACTAAGGAAACAGAACATGAGAGAATGTCAACAGTTTTACTAAAAGTTGAGGCCATGTATGCATTTTTTGTGAACAGCATCTACCTTCTTAAAGAGGCCCAGTAAGTGAAAAAAGAATTTAGGGAACAAGTATTAGTCAGCTGATGAGATTTTGAACTGGACAGACTTTGTACCTTGGCATATGAATGGCCATCCTAGAACCTTTTGAACTTTTGCCACCAAGTAACTCTGAAAAGGCTGACACAGCCAGTGGTAGATAATGGAAAGAGCACAGTCCTCTGCCCAAGGAATCAAGGTATATATTATTCAGGGGGGTAAAGAACCTCACTGGCTCAACAGTGAAAGCTTATAAATTGCAGGATCATCAGAGATGAGGAAATGGATCACAGATAGTCATTGAGTTTGACTTTTCTCCTAGAATTCATTATTGTTTTAGGAATCAACAGGGTGTAAAGGAAATGGTGCAGATTTTCTACTTAGGAAAGAAGTACTGTATTTGACCACTTTCTAGCTGAAAGTGCTAGCTGAAAGTAGAGTTCCATTACTTCTCTGACCCTGTTTCCTCATTTGGGAATATGGGAATGGACTTTTGCAAATCTGTTGGGAAATGTGAAGGGCAGGAAGAGAGTAAAATGAGATGCTGTCTAGCATTGAGTAGCAGCTTAATATGCATCAGTTCCTTCCTACTTCAGTCAAAATTTAGTTTTGTATGTAGAATAATCCTTCTTTATATTCTATTCTCCATTTTGAGTTTGGAAACATGAATGATTTTATTTAAACCAACAGCTTGATGATAAAAGGAGCTGTTTGTCAGAGACGGTCCTGTAAATGCCTTGTAACCTGAGAGATTCTGAGTGCCGGGGTAAGCAGGTTATAAAGGCCAACTCCCACAGCCCGCACACTTTGTGTGTGGCAGATTCTTAAACCATTTGTTTACTGTTTTTTAACACTGCCCTGAAGTCCACTTAAGTCAGAGTTCAACCAAAGGGACGTAATCCCAGAACTTTGGGATTTCTCTGTGATTACAGAGAAATGCGAAATTGTTTTCTGGAAGAATGCACTGTTCGATTATACTCCGTGTGGCGTCGGTATATGAAAATATTGGTGGATGGCGAGGGGGATGTTGATCTGAGCAGAGACCCTAGGAGGAAGCTAAAGTACTGCGTAGTGGTGGCTGTTTCGGTGGTTTTGTTTTGTGTTTTTTACAGTTAGTGGCAGCTGTGTGCACGCTTTTTCTTGAGTCAGCGGCACTAGGCAAGTAATTTCCCATCCTGAAGCTCTTAGCCTCTTGAGCTACAGTGGATATACTGGGATGTGGCTCTTAACTTTAAAAATTTGCATAAATCCAGCTGCCACTGCTCCGGCAAGGCTGGGTCTTTACACCTTCCCTGAGGTGCTTCTTTTCTGGGGCGGGGGTAGGGCGCGGCGCGGCGCCGCGTGGGGCCGGTGGGTGGGAGGGAAGGAGGGAAAGGAAGGCCCACTGCCCCGGCACTGGTGGGGAGGAGAGAGCCCAAGGCAGGGGCTGGAAACGGAAGGGCTGCAAGCCAGCGGCTGGCAGCGAGGCCGCCGGCAGGGGGAGGCCCGGGCCGGCCGAGGCCGAGCCGCCACGCGTGGCCAGAGTGGCGGGGTCCCCGCCGGGAGAGTGCCGGGCGCCGACCATGGCAGTGGCGCAAGCCGCGGCCCCCTCGCGCGCCCTGCCCGCCGCCCCGCGCCCCTCCCTCCGCTCTGCCAACACTCGGATCTCTCTCGCTCTTTCCCCTGTGTTTTCAAACAGGAAGTGCACGGCTGTCTGTAACGTGCCGCCGGGTCCCAGGATGGAGGAGTGAAGGCTCCCGCTGCTGCGGTTCCAGCCTCCGGAGCCCGCCGAAGCCGAGTCCCCAGAGAGCGCCCTGAGGGAACAGGGTGGCCGCCTGGTCCAGGTACGCGGGCTGGGCCGGGAGTCCGCGGCGGCCTGGCTGGATCGCGGCAGCCTCACGCGCCCCCCTGCACACACCCCGCTTTCTCACCGGGGGTCTCGGCCAGACTCGGTGGCAGCTGCCGCCCGGGCGTGTGGCCGGCCCGGATGGGCTGGCTCTGGGCGCGCGCGCCTGGACCTGCCACGCCGGGCTGCCCGGGCTGCTCTGGGGCTGCCTGAGCCGGGGAGTCTTCCGGGAGTCCCCAGCTGCCCTCTTCTCCTCCCGCTGCCTGGAGCAGCAGCCCTTTGTTTCTCACTTGCTGGTGTGTCTGGGTGAAGGGTGGGGGGTGTCTACATAAATGTTCTGGGAGGCAGAGTGGTGCGAGGGTGAGGAGTGGGGACATAGGAGGAAGAGGACCAGTGGTGAGTGAAGTGCAAGAGGGACAGGAGATTAGAGTCTTGGTTCAGAAATCTCACCTCCTCAGCTGTTGAGAAGGAAACCTGGTTCCTTCCTTCTTATTTTGGGAGAACCACGTCATCACAGACCAAGGGAATTAGTGATGCAGACACCCACCGGATGTGTAGGGACCTGGAGTGAGGGACAGCAGCGAGTTCTGAGGTGTTTAGTCTGGTGTCTGGCGTGTTAACGCCACTGTGGTTTCTTAGCCAGGTTTCCTTGCTGAGACAGAAGGTACTTTAATAATATGAGCCAGGCATCTTTATTAAATTCCATTAGTCATCGAAGTAAGATTGGCAGTGACTTTTCGCAGATTCTCCAGGTAGATTATAATTTCATATCCATGTCTTCTCCTCACATGTTCATAGGAGGAGAGCAAAATGCTGGGGAAAAGGTTTGTTTTATGGGACAAACTTTTTGCTTCTTCATTTCTGTAGCAGCTCCTCTCTCCACACACCTAGTTAGATTGACTTCTCCCGCAGTGAAAGCCTGGCCTTGTTTTACTGCCTGTATTTATCTACCTAATGAAACTCCAGTCTTGTGGAGGGACACTAAGGGAAGTGGGATGGTTGAGAAGAATCAGTTTGATGGGATGATTATATGGCCTCAAATTAAGTGTTTGAACAATATTAAAGCCAGCAGCATCTTCTTACTCTTTATTTTGGAGGAAGGGATGTGAACGAATGACTAGAGGGGAGGAAAGTGACTGCCACAGGAGGGTCCCTATAGGACAGGGGAAAGTGAATAACCACAGTGTCACAGAGGCTTGGTCTTTCACCTTACTGAGTACTCAAGCTTTCCCAGGGTTAGTTGTAGAATTTAAATTCATGATGATGGATGCTGATTATACCATTCTAATGCTGAAAAATTTATAATCACATATATTTACTACATAATTTTGCTTTGAAAGGAATCCTTTGTACTCAGGCGCGGCAAACTTGTACTCCCTCCCCTTCCTTTTTTCCCATATCAGCAGTATGGAAGTAATTCGAATTATAAGATCCCATTATTCCAATAATCCTTCAGGACTTTAATCTCTTTTAAAATGCAGCTGCTTTGACCATTGTGATAATATCAATAATTGGTATAATTGTATTAGCAGTAAGTAACTGAGATACACTATGAGAATGAGCAATTTCCTCCTTACTAGACACATGGACGTGGACTTTTTAAAGTTTGAATTTAATTGTGAGATGTCTGTGTTTATGCCTCTTCTCTTGCCAAATACGTTGTGAAATTAAAAATGAAAACAAGTCATCAAGAGATATTCTTGAAAGACTTGTACAACCATACTGTTTTGCCTCTATTTTTATACCCAGTATACTCTTTTCCCTTCAGTTTGTTAATTTATTAATATTCAGGTACTTTCTTTAGCATATGTCACTCTGCTCTAAGATAGAGTAGAATGCTTTTGTGACCCTCCAAACCTGTCTCTTATTTAGGAATCGGATCTACTTCTACTCTAGTGGAATTTAAACTCAGGAATAATAATAACTGACCTTTAGATTGTCATTTTCTACTTACGGAGCATATTTTTCTGTATCTTCTTTGCTCCTTTCAACAGTGCTAAACTCTTGCTCCTTTCAACAGTGTGATGAAATAGGATTTATTTTCTCCAATTTATGGGAGAGGAAACTGAGGCCAGACAGATGGGAACTGTCAGTGGTCATATTAGTAAATGGAGATGCTGGGACTTGAACAAGAGTCTTTTGATTTATAATCCTTGGCATTTTTTGTGGTCTGGAAAGTTGCTGCCTAAGGAAGAGACAGCAATGCTGATTCAGGTGATCCTTTACCATTCCAAAAGAGAGCTGATAAATGAGATTAACTTTACCAAATCTCCAGGGTTTTTCCCCCATTCCACTCATGCTAGAGCTCAGGGTGCTCCCAATGTTTGAAATTTATACTTCCTCCATGTCAGTAACTAGATTTTGCTATGTTTGCATCAATGTGATTTGTATTCTGCTGCCAAAATTCTAATAGTATATTTTAATTTACAAATACGCTTTGTCAGATCTTAGTGAGCACATATCTTTTTGAGGGGTCAGATTAGCATATTTTAACATTTTAGAATTAAAAGATCCATGTCTGATTTACCCATAGGAAAGTTTATGTCCCCAAAAATAAATTAACTAATATATGATGTATGCGACCCTCCCCACACCCCATTGTTACTGCCACCATATATCCCCTGCTCTCTCATCCCAGTTCAGGATAACCGCTGAGAAGTTCATATACAGAAAAACATAGGCAAACCCATGTAACTTTATTTATTTATTTATTTTTGAGACAAAGTCTCGCTTTGTTGCCCAGGCTAGAGTGAATGCCATGCATCAGCATAGCTCACAGCAACCTCAAACTCCTGGGCTCAAGCAATCCTACTGCCTCAGCCTCCCGAGTAGCTGGGACTACAGGCATGGCACTACCATGCCCGGCTCATTTTTTTTCTATATATATTAGTTGGCCAATTAATTTCTTTCTATTTTTAGTAGAAATGGGGTCTCACTCAGGCTAGTTTTGAACTCCTGACCTCGAGCAATCCGCCCGCCTCAGCCTTCCAGAGTGCTAGGATTACAGGCGTGAGCCACCACGCCCGGCCCTATAACTTTAAATTATAGATGAAATATTTTTGTAATATTTCCCAGATGGAAATAAGTTTATTTCCTTATCTTTGCAACGTTTAAAGTTGAGGCTCTCTTTAGCTATGGTTTTAATGTTGTACCATTAAACCATAAAATTATGGTTTAACTTATACTGCAAATTAAGATTTGGTATACATTTTCACACTGAGAAATGCTGGATAGAATATTTATTTTCTCTTAAATAATTGGCATTTGTGTAATGGTCTATAATTTCTCTGCAAATTGTGCCAAATCCTTGGTGGGGGCATGGGGAGGAGGAAAATAGATAAAATGAGGGCTCATTCTTTTGTAAGGGAGGAATGAAAAGTACTGCATGTATATTTCCTTGATGCACAATGCACTGCAGTTTGTCTATTGCTGAGTTGCAGTGACTTGTGAACTAGCCTCATGTCTCTTCCAACAGAAAGGCTAAAAATAAAAGGGTAACTAGCTTTGATGTTAAATGCCAAGGAAAAGTTAATGGCCAAGAGGGGACTAGGAATGGAGATAAATGTGAATTAAGATTTTCATATTTTCAAAACCTTCTTTTTTTTGTTTCATGTGTATTATTTTAAAAACACTATCTTCTTAGTTATATTGTAAACTATATAGCAGCGGTTGTCAACCCTTACAAAAATCAGGAAGCTTTTGCTTAATACGGAAAGATTTCAAAGATCTTGACTTTTCGGGAATTTTTCTTATCTCTGATGATTGCAAATATTTCATGCGAAAGTTATTTAATATCACTCAGCTAATATTTATTGTAAGTAATAACCTCAACATCTACCTGTATTTGTAAAATAATAGTACATAAATGTTGAGGTAGAAATTCAGTGTACGGACCTCTCTCTCAGTACCCTAACGTCCACAGATTGGGAGTCAGGCCCAAAGTAAAACAACTGCCACAGGCTGAAAATGCTGAAATGGTGATGAAAATGCACAGTATGTTAGCCATCAGGTTAAAGATTCCTGGGTAGAATTTTTCCTCTTTGTTGTACATTGAATAGGTGATGTGTAAAGTCATGGCTTTGCATCTGGTCGTGCATCTGAGTTGATTGTTTTTCATGATGTGTTTTCATGACGTGTTCCTTGCAGTTGGTTATGGATAACTAGATTCCTTCTTACACCATTTTCCCTAAAAGTAGTTCGATGAATCTATCTTCCTTATGTTTGTACAGTCAGGATTCCGGCACCAATTGCAGAATCACCACAGTCACAGCCATTACCACCAGCTTATATTCATTTCCCAGAAGCTAAAAGAGGCTTCCCAACCTTAACCTTTACAGTTTGTGGTAAGTGTATGGAAGGGTAAATGTTATTTATCCTTGTTCTGCAGAGGGAAAAACTAAGTTCATATTGCATTGGTCTCTCTGGTTTCTGTACCTGTTTTTATGACTATGGTATTCTGCTTAAGGTGGGTTAAGCAGGGCACAGAAATCTATTTGGGTTAGTGTATGAAGTTCTTTTATTTGATTAAAAAAAATACTACTTTCTGTTTATGGAACACCTTGTATTTACCAGACACTTTATGTGCATTACCTCTAATCCTCTTGGTATTATGCAGAGTGGTTAATATCCCGGTTTTTTTTTATGTGAAGAAACTAAGACAGGAAGAGATTGTAATTTATCCCAGTCACATAGACAAGCTAAAGCCTAGACTCTGATCCAGATTTTGCAACCCCCACTGCTAAAATATTTCCCTCACTGCATCTCCTGCTTTCTGTGTACTTAGCCTCGCCTATGGGAAGAAATAATCATGGTTTGTTTAGTCTTACCTGCCTTTTAAGCAAAGGTTAAGTTAAAACCGTAGAGAGTATGCAGACATCAGGAATATGGACATGAAAGAGTTAACATTTTTATAAATATTTTTGGCTTCCATGTAGTATGTCTTCATTCTTTTTCCTAAGGAGCCCAGATGTATGAAATTTGTTGGCCTTTATGAGAGCT